TTCAAGTGACTTCACTTTTATTTTATTTTTTTTCATCTCTTCAGCAGGTAGGGAGAAGTGTCATGTAGAATCTTATCTCCCCATCCCTCTCCCCACCCATTTGAATCATTCAAGACCTGGGATGGAGGAAATGAATTAGTAGACTGTCTGTGGCATCATCATGTACATTTGGTTACAGGGTCACCATGCTAGTAAGTGCGAGTCCTAGGACTGATCTTTGCAAGGGGCGGTCAGTTTGTATTTCCATGGACCCAGGTTGCACTCCTGGCTATAGAAGGCTTTCTCACAAGGTATCCTGTCACAAGATAAGGTACTGGCAAAGTGGTAGATGGATGAAAATAAACCTACCTACACTAGTGAAAGGGAAACAAAGAATCCCATGTACACTACTGCCAGTGCATTAATAAAATCTTATCTGTAAAGAAAAAAATACATATATTCTTAGTTCTATGTTAAAAATATTTCCAGCCTAAAATATTCCACAACAGTAACACTTGACTCTTGGATTTTATAACTCTGATAAATAACATTCCACACAAAGCTACAGTAAAGGCCCTGATAATTATTACCCAACTTGTGTAGCTACTAATTCCATACAGGCATCCTTTTTTTTATGTTCCAGTTTCTGCATATTTACCATATTTATTTGGCTCAAAGTATCATAAAAAATTTTGTTGGAAAATTATTCATAAAACTGTAGTCTGTATTTTATTTTTAAACAGCCAATGTCCACATTTAAAAGGCAGAATTTGCAAATATAAATTAGTCTGATAATCCAATTTAAAATAAAGCAGAACTTTAATATCACAATACATAAAAAGGTTTTATGAACTTAAAATGGCAACGTTAACTAATGCCAAAAGCCAAAACAATGCCAAAAGCCGTGAAACTCACCAAACCTCTCAGAGAACAAGTCAATTTAGAGAACATGTTTGTGTTCCACGACTAGCATGACACAGTGCTCATTGTATTGTAAAGGCTCAGCAACTCATTTATGCCAAAAGATGGGGTCAAGCAAAAATACTTTTTAAAAAAAAAATGGCAATAAAGATGTACTTAGACAAAAAATCTCCCAGTTTTTTAAAAACAATTCTACATAGAGGGAAAATATATTCTAAAATAAATTGACTTACTAACTTTTGTCAGGCTGCTTGCTGACCGATGTAAAAGTTTGCATTTTAAAAAATCACAAATATCTTATTGAACAGTGAAAATTTCAATGTGGTAACTGTCACTGCAAAGCAATTTTCACCTGAGTAGATTTGGAAATTTAGTGCTATCCTTCCAGGGAAGGAAAAGAAGTGAAGCCCAGCTAGTGTCTGATCCTGCATTTGCAGCAATCCCTTCACTTTGCTCTCATATGGTATTGAAAACACAACCTGCTGTGACCTTCCCAAGATACAAGTTGCCCTCTTCCCCCTCAACAATTTGCTCTGGCACTGTATGAACTCTGAGTATTCAGTATTTCAATTAGCTCCCCATTCAAGCACAGCAACCCAATTCATTCAGTTCTATACAACAGTATCTATATTATGTACATATTTAATTATCAGTAAGAAATAGAAAATAAAAAATTTACAGTGATTGAGAAAGGGTCAAAAAGGGGATAGGAAAAGTAATACTGTATAATCAGGATATCCTATTAGCCTACTAGTTTCAATGGCAGGGTTTTTCTTTTATTAGCTGAAATACAAAGAAATCATAGAGGATCCCAGGAAAATAACACTATGTATCAGAAAATTCAACGTGCTCCATCATCAGGATTTCCAGCACACATTTAATTTCTCCTGTACAATTTTTATAAACTTGTTTTTCTTTTCAAAAATCACCAGATTTCCAGATTAAATTCAGCACTACACAGTATGCCCTTGAAGTAAAATGAGGTTACCTGCTTTATTTGGATACCAAGTTCCCTTCCAGACAGCATTAAAATAAAGACAAGTAAGACTACACAGATAAAATCCAGTATAATTCAAATCCAACAATGAAAAATTTCCCCCATATTGTTGCAAAATTCTTTCTACTGAAATGCTTTGCTACAATAATAAAAAGCATACATTACATATAAAAGATACCAGTGTACTAAAAAGTGACAGAAGTGGACTAGCAAATCCTTCAAAGCACATTATATAAATGACTAGCATTTAAAAACATTTCTCCTATAAAATGTAGGTCATACATTTATAAATTGGCGGTTTTATCTCTAAAGCAGTGATGTGTGTGTTCAAATAGCTGTTTTGTACAGTATATTACTCACTTCAAACTACAATTTTTTCTTTGTATTGAAGTTGAATAAACTCATCTGATCAGCTGAGAAATCAAGTTTGAAAAGTAAGTATCTAAAAACCAAAGTAGAGAGCCTAGAATCATTGAAATGTAGTTATGAAGTATGAAGAGAACTATCTATTTGACAATGGAGCTGAATTCACCTCAAAGCTTATGGGCTTGACTCTAAAACAGAAACGGGTATCAAAATCCAAAGCAAACCACAAAGTTAGGTAGCAGTACAGAAGCAGGAAAAACCCACATCCCTTCCTTCAGTGTGATGGGCACTAAGTGTGCGGTCTTCCTCCATCTCGCAGAAGAGTGGTAAGGCCATTCAATGCTTAGTGAGTGAGCACAGATGAAGCCAGATCTAGCCTGTCCCCCTGCAGCGTCAATTATGCTGTGTAAACAGTGTTATGTTCCAACAGGAGGAACAATGGAATCTGCTTATAAAACCGATTAAAGAGAATCATTATTAAATAAGGATAATTAACAACTCTGAAATGTTTTTAGAACGTTCCTGATACTACTTGTAAAGTTAGCACTGCTGTGTATTATTGCTTACAGTACAACATCGTATGCCTTCTAACATAAAGCAGTACTGTGGTTTGTTTGTACATATTTACAGATTCTTAAAAACAAGCTGTAAAAACATTACATACTTTCAGACATACAAATTAGCACATTGGTACTCACTTCAAAACAAATGGAATGCATAACAATAATAAACATCATAAAGGAAGACTCGCATGAAAGTCCTTGATTGTCAAGACACGTTTATATATAAACTCTAACTGTGCAGAATTAAAAATTCAATCATAGGTACATCCTTACTTGATGAACCGTATTTACAGCATGGTATTGCATAAAAAAATAAAATAATGTTTACAGGGTTTTACTTTTTTATCCATTGGATTAAAGAAAGCAACAAACATAATAGGAAATGTTTGTCTGCTTTAGCTTGTTTCCTACCAAAATTTAAGTGAAAAAGGAAACACGGTTTTTATTTGCAGAATATAGCAAAATCTGGAAAATTATTTCCCTGAAATAAAGCAATTTGAAACAGAAAAGGTTTAAATTAAATTGCCCACTCAAAAATTTTCTTTGATTATAACAGTGCTTCAAGTAAATATACTGTGAAAAAAAAATGAGTTCTAGTTTAAAATGTTCTAAGAAATGTAGTACTACAGCAATGCCTACTTTTAAGTTTCCCGGCTTTTTTTTTTTTAAACAGCCCTTTAAAAACCCAAGTTAACATGAAAGAAGTGGTAAAAGATTTAACCTTGCTGGCACTTTGCAAGTGTCTCTCATTTGTAGAAATGAAAGCCTGCCCTGAGCACAAGGCCTTTTCTACCTTGCAAGAGATAAAGTGAGCTGCTGGCATCAAGCCAGAGCTAAGAAGATGGGCTCCCACCTTAGCAGATAGCACACTTGTATGTAGATCCAAAAACTTTAGGAGTCACTCAAATATTCCACACCATATGAAATATATGTACAGTGAGAATTTTAAGTTAAAAACACTTCCAGAAGATGTTCAAGAGACACTGCCTCCTCGCCTAATGTGATCTCTGCTTCCAATCCTCAAACATGACGGTAGGCCTACAGGAAAACCGCACTTCACTCACATGGATGGAAAGTGTTTGGGTGCTAAGAGCAGGTTTTTATAAAATAACTTGCTTCTGAGAGAAATGAGAAACATGAATTGCAAAGGATATCTCATATCCTCCATGTTTCAATCTAGAGCAGCATATAAGGCTACTGATTTTCTCCACTAATGCCCAGACAGAAATTAAATAACTTTCAGAACAAAACGGGGAAACCCTAACTGTTGAGATGTTCATCGTATGATAATGCTAAGTCTGGTAGGCATTTAGAATTTCACAGTAAGAGTGACAACTATACAGAAATGGCAAGTCGGTAAGTTATGCTGGCTAAGTATTAGTTATCTCAAGAATGCTTACATTCTGGTAAAAAGTCTGCCATTGTATAGATTTCAAGAAATGTATTGAAGACAGAAACACAACACCTGAAATTCTGCTTGCATAACTACCATTTCCAAAGGCTTTTCCCTAAGCTCACCCAATCTGCTCAACAACAACCATGCTATTAAAACTGTGCTGGTGATGTTAAACAAAAAACCTTTACATTGTACCTAGAACTGTATAAGTTCATAATGAAACAAAAGTTTTGATCAGGTTTAAAAAAAAATCAACTCAGAATATATGTGTCTATTCTTACCAAAAGCACTTTGAGAAAACTGTAAATGCCTCTCTAGGGTGAGCAGTTCCATTTTTAACATCTCACCTGAAAGAATTCCTCTTGCAGTTGTGTGATATACAACATAACACACGTCAATCTTAAGATTAATAATGGCAGAACTTAAATATTTACTTCAAAGTGTAAAATTCTTGAAAACTTCGGCAGCAAAGAAAGCTGTCAAATGGGAAAACTAATATTTCAAGCAAAGCTTAACGACCAAAATGTAGAGGAAACCACATTAAACATAATTTATACTCCACATCATAAAACACAAATATATTCAAAATAAATGAACATAAGTGAAGGATGTTAAGGGAAGGATATTTCTTTGTTCCCTTTCTTTATGAGAATAGTCTTGAGATAATATTAAATAAAAGAAAAATAATTTAAATGGATAACATATTCTACACTGAAACAACGCAGATTTACAGGGCCAATATAAAATTAAAATGGAAATTAACAAAGTAAAGTTTCACCTTCCAAGAGTACTGATTTTCATTTTCACTGGCGCTGTATCAGTATGTGCACTGTGACAGAGATGGTGGAAATTTACACTACAAAACCAAAGAAACTGAAACAAATCAAAGAGGATACAGAATCAATAAAACTAATGTTACTCTCCAAAAAATAAAAACTGTTCAATGTGTAACTCAAACCATCATTCAGAAAAGTATATATATATATTATATATATATATAAAAGCACTATTTATTGTACCATGCTGTATTATTTTAAGACAAAGTATTAAAAAAACATTCGTGGTATAAGGATAAAGTCTGTAGTTTATTTAGAATTTGAAATGCAACAAAATTTTTCCGGTTACTTATCTAGCTGAAAAGAAATTGTAGTTACTAGAATTAGTAAACACTTTTGGTTTGTAAAACTGTGATGAGCAATGTTCATTAAAGAGTAACAAGATAAAATAAGCCATTAAAATGCCCATTTCTTTAGTTTCTCTGGACACTAATTATCCAATCTATCAAGAGTCTAGAGAGAGGATTAAACCAGGTTTTACAGTTTCAAAGATATCCCAATTTCTTTTTATTGCCAAAAATTAAAATTGTCAATTATGAGATGATTATGACACAACCATATCAAACCTAAAAATCTAAATTTTTTTTAACTTTGAGAAATCAAAAATATCAAATAGATTCTAAGTGCTCTATGTTAACTGAAGTGTATATGTAAAAGTAAGATACAATTAAACTTTAAAATGTGGAATATACATTTTGTGTATGCATTATGTTCTCGGGAATGTAATCTACAGAGTATTTTTTACTAAAACTTCAAAACCTTGTTACTTGCACATGAAAAATCATAAAAAATATCTAGGAACAACTGTACAAAGAAACTGACACCAATATGCATACTTCCACAGAAAAGAGACTGCTGCAACAGTTGTATATTTTGGTAAAGGTTTTGAAAGTATGCATATTTTTAAAAGTAATTAGGCTTTTAAATAGTGAAGTCTTAGACTATCAGATTTTTATTATTTTTTTTCCTTTAAAAAAAAACCCACATGTCAATATAATGCAAAATGAAAATCAAGGGTATATGGCATATCATTCTTCTTAAAAGGTGGATTCTTTTTCCTCCATAGGACAAACTAATTTAAGCCATAATCTCTTGACATTTAAACTCTTAAGTTCACTCTGTAAAGTATAATCAGATTCCCTGCTGAAGTGCAATGACTATGCTGAAAAACTTAGAAACAGTATGAGTAAATTTCACACAATTACTAATCTCCTAAGAACGTACAATGTTATCAGTTAGGAAAGAATTGTGCGAAAGTCTTTTTTTTTTTCTTTTTAACTCAGTGTGGGTGGAATAGCAAGTTTCTGATCTAAAACAAGTAACGCACTGCTTCTAGAACGGTGACAACATGTAAGGCAGTTCAAAGAATGCTGACTAACCAAACAAAATGCAGTTATTGGATTCTCTTGCTATTCATATCAGCTTAACTTGTTATAACGCATTGCTCTTAAATCTGTACAGCACTCCATTTTACACAGAGTAACCCCACTCTTGATTAATCTGTTCTAAAGTGCCAGTATTATTTACACTTTTTTTTTTTAGCCAAAAGTCTGGCCAGCTGTGGCATCTGGTGAAGATGTCATCCCAGCTCTGTTATCATTTACATTCACCAAGGGAAATTCTGAAAATTCAGCACTTGTCCCTGGTCCCCGAAGGTTCACCTGTCCATTGGCAGTGCTAAACTGAGTAGCTATTCCAGCTCTAGATCCATGATAGGGAGCACGGAAAGGCTGTTCAAATGAGCTCATTTGGTAAGCTTGGTGGACAGGCTGAGCCTCAGCTTTCTTCTGAGAAGTCACTTGATCCAAAAAGTCCTGTGTAGATGTGGCAGAAGCATGGTTTGTCTCATCTCCTGAAAAAGGAAATGAGTGCTGTGAATCACCAACTATGAGTCCAAAGTGAGATTTATCTGGAGTTGTTCTTAGTGGAGAATTCATTCCTGATCGAAAGCTATTGATAGGCATGGTTGCATAGACTTGTTTGTCTATGGAAGAGAATGCTGGCTGATTTGGAAGGGTCTGGTTATCAGTGACAAAGTTAAGGCTCGGGCTATTCAAATAGGCATCATTTTGGCTAGTTCTGTCCAAAGCCTGCTGCAGAAACTTGGAGTATTCTTGCAACATGTTGGCTTTATCTGTCGAGGATGCTTGGGAGCTTGATCCAACATTCTCTGATGGGGTGACCTCAGGTACTTCTGAAGAATTTATTGATATGCTGGATGTCACTTCAGTGTCTGCAACACTGAAGGAAATCTCGTGCTGTCCATTAGCTTTATGAGAATAGTGATCCAACAGAGTCTGCAGTACCTCATCTGGAATAACATTTTTGTCGTGATTACTCTTAATCTCCACATTCAGGGCCTGTGAATCTAGTATGGATGCTGTGGTGCTTTCATCAATAACACTTGCCACAGCTGCTTGTGTTACAGAAGGCTGGGAGGCTATGGTACCCACATTCAATGCATATTCCCTGCTGTTGTTACTTGCTGCTTGAAGATACCGCTTCTTCTTCAGAAACTGCATGGCATCATCATAGTTAGTACTACTGTGCACAGGTTTACTAGGCCCTTCTTGCAAGTTATCAACCTGGTCAATGTCAGCATTTCCTTCTGAGTCCAGTAAAGCTTGTTTATCCACAAGCTCAAATGCGTACTTTGAAACTTTGCTCTCCTCATACGTGGATAAAGGTGAAATGGTTTGATTTTGCTCCAGTGGCTGTTTCAGACTTCGCTTACTATTAATTTTTTTGAGAACCAACTTTGGTGGGTGTATTTCTCCCGATGCATCTTCTAGATGTGATCCTCCAACTGAAGAATGTGGCATTTCAACAGCATATTCTGCTACCATATATTCATCTTTTACTTTAGTACTAGAAGAATAAAGAGGCAAGTAATCATTTTTGTCTTTCTTCAGGTCAGACTTGTCCAAAGCACTCTCTTTATCCATTCCAGATGATTTCTTTTCCGCTTTCTGCCTTTTCTTTTTTGGCAGTGAGTTATCTTTTGGTGATGTAGAAAAGCCAGAATCTTCCTCAGAAGTCAGAAGGCCACTTTTGATGGCACATCTGTTTAGTTTTTTGTCATGATTTTCATGGCACATACGTTTATGTTTCAATACACGATCTGTTCTGGAAAAATACTGTCGAATTCAGAGGTTGAAAGTAGTTTTTGAGTTTTGTTGTTTTGGTCAACAAAAAGGAAAAAAAGAAAACAATTGATGTAAGTATAATGATATAATTAATTTTAAACAAACTCACTGTGCTAGTTTTAATAAATCTAATCATAAGAGTTTAAAAGCTCCTCAAATAGTTCTAGTAGTAACATTTTCTAGTTTAATTTATTAGAATTATTTTATAGTTTAACTAGATAGAATTTCAAGCCACCTCTCTTACCTGTAAACAGTATTCACACTGGTAAGGTTTTTCTCCACTATGAGTTCTCTTATGCCTTTCCATGTGGTATTTTTGTATGAATCTCATACCACATTCATCACAGCGAAATGGTTTTTCACCTAGCATGATACAGAAAATTTAAGACAAAATAAATATTGTAAAATAATGAATTGCTTTTCCACAAGAATCTCTAAAACACATGAACAGTTTGACAGCTGTGATAATTACTGCTTGAATGATAAAAGATATTTATCATACTAGGTAGAAAAAAGACATACTCAATTTTTTCCTTTTGTTACATAGGGACATATTCTTTCCACGACCAGCAATACCAGGAACTTATGTACAGACATTTAAAAAAAATGTTGTCCATGCACAATCCAATACAATTTTTGTGTACAGATTCTTAATTATTAATTTCTTTCCAGAAACACAGTTAAATGAAATTCTGAATTCTACAAAAATACTCTATAAATCTAATTTATTAAGACAAAGAGTTGAGATTAAATTTCAAAACTAAGGTTTATTCATAGTGATTTTTTTTTCAACTCAAATCAGTATTTATTATGTCATGTAGGGAATAATTTACATATTAATACTATCAACTGGACACATGACTGTCCCATTTTTTTAATGTCCAAAGGACTTTTTACCTTATAAGGAACATCTGTATGGAGTTCTAAATAGTTTTTCTACATTCTAATAGAAGAAGGTGATAAGAAATTAAATAATGTATGTTCACGAAACTATTGTTTCTACTTATCACACACTCAACAAAATTTTACAGAATATACTGCTCTTACACCCACAATAACCCTTCTGTAAAGATTAAAAGTATACTTGTCTCTGAAGAGTTTATTATAGCATAACTTGGAAAACAAGATACATATATTTTAAAAAATAGCAACTCATACAACTATGTCTTTCTGGTTTACTTTTTTTTTTTTTTTTCCAGAACCGGGGACTGAACTCAGACCGTTCCACTTGCCAGGGAAGTGCTTATTCTACTGAGCCATCTCCCCAGCCCAAAAGGCAGAAGGATTTTTTTTTTTTTTTTTTCTCTGAATGCCTTCAGGGCAGGTTTGGCTGGCTTGAGTCCTGGGGATCGAACCACAGCAACCTGAGCCTGACTGCTTTGTTGAAGCAGCCACTTAAAGAGCTGAGCTAAGGGGCAAGGCCCCCTCTCTGGTTTACTTTTAAAACATATCCCACAGTTCTCCTTCTTAATCTTTTTCTTCAGCTAAATCAAAATACCCACATGTCACACTTTCTCTTTCCTTATTGCTCCTGCAGACAGGAATGCCCATTTCTGGCTAAGTGTTCAGATCCTGCATTTCTTTTAAAATCTATTTCTTTTAGGATAATTGGCCCTCTTTTCTTGGAACTACCACAGAATTCCATCTGTAGGTTTCCTATGGCACTCATTATTTTCACCTCAATAATAATTATTTCATGCATTTCTCTACTTCATTATATTTCCTTAGTTTAAGAATCTAGCCCTAAATTATATTCAATTAATAATGTAATTTTCTTTTCTTTTTTTTTTTTCTTTCTTTCTTCCTTTTTTTTTCAGTACTGGGAATTGAACTCAGGGGCTTGCTTACTT